TTATGGATCGGCGGTTGGACGCCGGGTGCCGGGGCCCGGGGGGGAAGTCGCTGCCGAGTCTCTGTTGCCGCTGCAAGGGCAGCGCTATTTCACCACGGCCTGAACTTTAGTTCTGACATCCTGTTACTGCGATCGAATCCCTCCTCGAGGAGCAGGCTGGATTCAGCACTTCGGGCTTGGCGCACGCATTCATCAAGTCACGGAAAGATCTGCCTTGTCATCCTGTCGCCCCGTGTTTTCATCAAGTCCTTAGCAGAGAGGCGCCGAGCTCGCTGCCTCCCTTAGCCGGGGAGTAGCTGGCTTCAGTTCCCCGCGGTCCTGGCCGGCAGCAGCGAGACCGTAGCGCCGAGATTTCTGGTCGAGCCCGCGCTCGGAGAAAGCCTCCCCGCAGAGACGGCAGCGAGGCGGCCGCGCGGCCCTGCGCTTCTGCTGGCACATTATCGCCCCCCGAGCCACAGCCCTAGGCTCGGTGGAAGGCAAGCCCGGCTCCTGCAGAGGGGCATCAGGTCTGGGCCAAGGCAGGTCACTGGTGATGGAGGGGGCCGGTCTGCCCATCCCCGGGAGCTGGCACAGGACCAGGCCTGCTTGCACACTTGCTGGCGGTCACCCAGCATTACTGGCTGACCTGAGGGTCAGCAGTGCCATGGCCCACACCTGTGCGTTACCCTGCGATGCCTCTGTGCTTACCCGGCCCGGCTGCTTGGTCACTGCCTGGCCTGTGCCCACTGGACAGCTCGCTGGGGCCACGCGCTGTGCTCGGAGGGGCTCTGGGAGCGCCGGGCACGCGCGTGCTGCAGCACGCCACAGCCTGCACCCGTGCCCGACTGCCCTTGGCCCTTGGCCCTGCGCAGCTTGGACCCTCCCCTGCAACCGCGGGAGTTTTATGCCTGGCCGGACTGGTCCAAACCGGGGGGTTTCGCCTTGCTCTGCAGCGGGGGCACGGCCTCGGCCTGGCTGCATATTAACACCCTTTGCAGCGGCGGGGCCGGCTGTGATGTCTGTGCTCCGTCGGGGTTGGCTGCAATTTTACTACAAGCTGGGTGTGCCTGGGGTGGTTTGGGCAGGCCTGGGCCCGGATGTGACCCCGCAGGTCCCTGCCAGCCTCGCGGTGCCGTGGTTCTCAGAAACGACCAGTGAGACTGATCGGTTGTAGCCGCTGTGCGCCGGCGCGGGAGGCGCACGGCCGTGACTGCCAGGCCTCTCTCTACTGCAGTGTTCAGTGGACAGAGGCATCTCCGCGTGCCGGCGCCGGAGCAAGCCGGCCTGGTGCCATGCTGACCCGCGCAGGCTGGGCACTGGCAGGGTCGAGCAGCGACTGCCAAGACCTCAGCTAAGCAACAGGGAGATTCGCTGGGCCAGGAGCAGCGTCCCAGCCCTGCCGAGCCGTCCCGGGCACCGTCTGGAGACGCCAGACCCTGGGGACGCCAGACTAGATGCCAGCTAGCAGGTTCGTGGCCCAGGAGCTGGCAGGGGACCCGGCAGCCCTCGATGGGACCCTGCCTGCCCTCGTCCCAGCTCAGCTCATCCTTATGAGCCAGAGTGTCCCCTTGAGCCGCCCTGCCCGGGGCCTGGAGCGGGCTTGCTCCAGGTGGGCACTGGGCCCACCAGCATCGGCCACCCGTGGATATCTGAGCCTGCTCCTGTGTGAATCCCCGAGCGCCTGGAGATGGACGGCAGCGCTGTGTGGATCGATGGCTCATTTGAAGACAAAGGGGCAGCGGTGTGATTGAATGCTTCAGCAAACCTGCCAGAGACGGGGCAGCCAGAGACCCCCCCGAGCCAGGTGAAGCCGTTCATTGCCGGAGAGGAAGAGCCACACCGCTGCATGGCACCGCTCGCCGGTCCCAGGCAGAGGTGCCCCGCGGGGCCCGAGGCTCGTGCCGTTTGGAGCAACAGCCCAGATCCACGTGAGGCCGTTCAGCCCTTCCAGCATCAGCCCCGCAGGGCTGGGGGTGGCGGGGCAGACCCTGGCGATGCTGCGCAGAGGACAATCCTGCGTGGAGCAAAACACTCGCAGGAGCAGCGCGTCCGTTCGGTCGTTGCTGCTCTGCTGTCCTCACGCTGCAGGGCAACGCGGTCCTGCCCCTGGCACCGTGCCCCACGGCGTGTCCGTGGCTGCCTGCGGGGCCTGGTCTGCGCCGTGGGCCCCGCGCCATTGGCTTTGCTGGGGGGCAGGTTGAGGCGGCGCCCTGCACCTTGCGCTGCGTGCGGGCACGCCCGTGTGCCGGCCCGGGGGCCGTAGCGCTGGAGGGAACCCGGGTCACGAAGGCTGGGGGCGGTGCGTGGCACAAGGAGGCTGCATTCACGCTGGCGTGGCCTTGTCTTGGATATCCAAGGGCGTAGCTGTGATACCCAAGGGTCACTTCTCCATTGCAGGACGGTCCTGGGTTGGTTCTTTAGGGGACGTGGGTCCGGTGGGGACAAGGCCAGCCACGCTGGGCTGAGGCTTGCAGCACAGCGCCTCTCGCCTGCTCCTTCTGGGGCCCTGGGAAGGGCAGGAGCAGCCCCGAGCTGGATGGACCGTGGCCCTTCCTCCAACGGCCCCTTGGACCCAGAGGCCGCGCTGGTCCCTGGAGGGTTTCACCTCGTGGGGCTGAGCTGGGCGGCGGGGGGGGGGCGCTGGCTGCTCTGCTCCATCTCGGCAGCCTCCGCCGCATCTGGCAGC